GCCTGGGGTTGGGCTCATACGACGAGCTCCAGTCCCAGGGCCTGGACTTCATGAAACTACTAAGCGATCAGGACATGGATGCAACAAAACAACAGGAACGGGATCTCATGAGAACTCTGTCACAAAATAGTTATGACACCAAAATCACATCCCGAACCGCATCGGTAGTGGAAAACCCTGTTATGCTAAACGTATAAAACTTTTAATTTCTATATATTTATTTTTATTAACCATTTGTTTAAATGATTTATAGGATGATGTGATGGACGGGCAGTATTCGGGTGACCCTAAAATACAAGACGAAAACCGGGAGTCGGGCTCCATTTCCGGTCGGGTATATTGGAAGTACATTAGGGCCGGTGCCGGACCCCTACTGTTTAGCGTAACCCTATTTTTCACCCTGGTATCTCAAGCTATATTTCACGGTTCAGACTATTATTTAACCGAATGGTATATTATAATTTGACATTATTATTATTATTAACTAGCTAATTTATTTATTAAGATTCTTTTATACAGAATATTTTGTATATTATTTCCCAGAATATTACTTATTATAAAGTTATTTTGTTTTGTGAATATCATGTTAACAGGACTGACAGTAATCAGGAAAATACAAACTCGGATACCAGTGCCCAGAATAACGGTGTAATTATCTATTCATCACTAATGGGCGCACTGTTTATGACATCCCTATTGAGGGCCATCACGTGGTTCGTGATGTTTATGAGAGCCTCCGTTAATCTACACAACAGTATATTCTATCGACTATTACGGGCGCCGATAGCCGTGTTTGACAACAACCCCGTCGGTGTGTATAACGATATTTAAAATATATGAATTTTTTCAACTTTTATGTATAAATTTAACCTATCTAATTTCCAGGGCGTATACTAAATCGGTTTACCAAAGACCTGGGTATTATCGATGAGATGCTCCCATCGACTGCATATGATTTAAATCTAGTAATAAAATTCATTATTAAATTTCAATACCCTGGTATCTCAAGCTATATTTCACGGTTCAGACTATTATTTAACCGAATGGTATATTATAATTTGACATTATTATTATTATTAACTAGCTAATTTATTTATTAAGATTCTTTTATACAGAATATTCTGTATATTATTTTCCAGAATATTACTTATTATAAAGTTATTTTGTTTGGTGAATATCATGTTAACAGGACTGACAGTAATCAGGAAAATACAAACTCGGATACCAGTGCCCAGAATAACGGTGTAATTATCTATTCATCACTAATGGGCGCACTGTTTATGACATCCCTATTGCGGGCCATCACGTGGTTCGTGATGTTTATGAGAGCCTCCGTTAATCTACACAACAGTATCTTCTATCGACTATTACGGGCGCCGATAGCCGTGTTTGACAACAACCCCGTCGGTGTGTATAACGATATTTAAAATATATGAATTTTTTCAACTTTTATGTATAAATTTAACCTATCTAATTTCCAGGGCGTATACTAAATCGGTTTACCAAAGACCTGGGTATTATCGATGAGATGCTCCCATCGACTGCATATGATTTAAATCTAGTAATAAAATTCATTATTAAATTTCAATTTATAATGAATAAGTTTGTTTATAGAGTTTGACACAAGGTATCGGCAGTATAACCATGGTAGCCCTGGTCAACCCTTACCTTATACTACCCGCTATTGCGCTCATTGGATTAATACTATTAGTCCGTGTTATATACATTAAATCTGCCAGGGACATTAAAAGATTTGAAGGATTAAGTATGTTTCCAAAAATGTACAACCTTAATAAATTTATACACTTTAAAATAACTAAATTAAATTTACTGATTAAATCTCCCTTTATCTAAGTTTTAAAATAATTAATCACTTTTGAATCAAATAGCCCGGAGCCCAGTCTATTCACACGTGAGCACCACCCTGAGTGGGTTGGCCAGTGTGCGGGCCTATGGGGCACAGGAAATGTTTGAGCAGCAATACTACGTGTACCAGGATGACCACTCAGCCACCTGGATACTATCCATTACTGCTAACCGTTCATTTGGATTGATAATGGACTGGCTGTGTGTGGGATATATTGTGGTTATATTTGCTGTACTTATGATATATTCGGACGGTTTAAAGGGAGGGGAGGCGGGACTGGCGTTTTCATCGGGTTAGACCATAAGGTTATGATAAATAAATTTTATAATAAGTTTTTGTGTATATATTGTTAGCCCTGATGCTGACGGGTATGACTCAGTGGGGGGTCAGACAGTCGGCTGAGTTGGAGAGTCAGATGACTTCAGTCGAGAGAATCATAGAGTACTCGAAACTACCACAAGAGGCGCCGTTAGACTCGGATGACAGACACCGACCGCCACCTGACTGGCCATCCAAGGGTCAGATAGAGCTGAGGAATATGTCTCTCGTATACGAGGGCTCAACCAAACCGGTGCTGAAGAAC